CCCCTCACGACTTACTCAGTCACTCAGTCACTCAGTCACTCAGTCACTCACCCACTCACTCATTCACTCACTCCTTCACTCCCTCCCTCCCTCATCCACAGGTCAGAGTTCGCTGCTGTCGTCGTTGACCGTCTCCCTCAGGTTTTCGTGGTCAAGTATCTAGGTCACCGGAGGGTCACGGGCGTGTGTGGGCTGCACCACGTGAGGAGACCCGTGGACGAAATGGTCAAAGAGGTCAAGGACAAACTGGACCAGAAGTCAGACGTGAGTGGTCAGAGAATGGCTGACGTCATAGCTAGCTGCTGGGGGTTGAAGTAGTGAAATGGTACCTATAGGTTTAACGCCCCTTTCAACACTATTAGGTTATTTAAGAGGCGGGACCTCCGAGTTTAACGTCCATCTCCGAAAGGACCGAGCCAAGTGGGAAATTCGTGTAAAGTGCCTTTCCCAAGGACGCAACGTCGGACCGAGCTGTGGGGTTGTTGAGTTTGGGTTTGGAGTTGGAAGTTTGAGTTTTGAGTTTGAAATAGGAGTTGGAAGTTTGAGTTTTGAGTTTGAATTAGGAGCTGGAAGTTTGAGTTTGAGTTTGAAATAGGAGCTGGAAGTTTGAGTTGAGCTATGAGTTTGAAATAGGAGTTGGAAGTTTGAGTTTTGAGTTTGAAATAGGAGCTGGAAGTTTGAGTCGATCTATGAGTTTGAAATAAGAGTTTGAAATTTGAGTTCTGAGTTTGAAATAGGAGTTGAAAGTTTGAGTTTTCAGTTTGAAATAGGAGTTGAAAGTTTGAGTTTTGAGTTTGAGAGAGTCTAAGATTGAGTTTACGTTTGAGTTGGTGAGTTTGAATATAGAGAAGAGTAGGCAGACAGATGCGACGAGAAAATCGGGAGGGTTGACAAATCTGCTTCTCTTTGTTTTTCTACGTCATGTCGTTTTGTTATTGTTAACTATCGGGAGCTGGCGAAGTGGTTTGTGGCTTTTTAAATTGGTCGCTTTTAACCTCTCCACTGCTTAGTAGAAGTATGTTCTGGCTTGTATTCTCCACTTATATTGTTTCATCCGTTGATAAAAGAAGTTTTAGTTGGTGTAGTTACAGCTTGTGATTTTGCTTATTCTAAATCAATTCTCTGTGTTTAATATTCCTTGAATTAACATTTTATCTTGTTGATACAGATGTTAATGGAAATTTTTCAGCAGTGAAGGGGTTAAGCACAAGGGGGCTATATTGAAAAATACTGTTTTGAGTAAATCGAAGGTAAAGTTTTTGGACCCTTGTTCAGTTTCTTTAAAGTCAAGGAGAGTTTTCTCTACAACCAAACAAATATACACACCAATGACACCAAACTTCTCCTATAGGTAAGCCAATGCCCACTTTTGGTGTAGGTCAAGATTTCTGGAAACCGTCGAAATCTGGGTTAGCCCGCTTGTCCTTAAAAGCGACCAATTTAAAAGCACGCTTTCACTCGTACTTTTCCGAATAATCTGTTGTAGTTAGCCTGTTGTTGCACCATGATGATGCTGTATTATGTGACACGTGGATTAACGTACAGGATCAGTTCACCTTACACAGGATGGTGGGCGAGTGTACCTGACACCCGGAATATTTTCTCGCGCTCTGTGGGCAGGCCGGTGTAGTGCTCTGGTGTGGCTTTCTACATCTTTTCTATAAAAAATCTATCGTCCTTATCTCTCCTCCTTCTTTCCCATCAAACATCTATCGTCCATATCTCGTCTCATTCTTTCCTATCAAATGTTTATTGTCCTTATCTCTTCTCTTTCTTTCCTATCAAACATCTTTCCTTCTTATCTCTCCTCCTTCATTTCTCTGTATGTTACTCCTTAGTTACCCCTCAAATCATTGGCACTTTTAAATAACCTATTTGTGTTGCAAGTGCGCAACACCCTTATTAAAACTAACTTCTTTTCTTTGTATGTTATTCTTTAGTGACACCTTGAATTGTCGGCACTTTTTACGTGACCTAATTACATTGCAAGTGCCGTAAAACAGTGAGACGTGTGGGTGGTTGGCGGGTGCTCTGGTATGATCTGCTCCTTCTTTCCAATCAAATATCTATAGTCCTCATCACTCCTCATTCTTTCTGTATTTGTTACTCTCTTGTAACACTTCTAATCTTAGGCACTTATACATTATGTATGACCTTGTTGCGTTGCAAGTGCCGTAAAACTCTTACTGAAACTAAAAACAGTTTAAAAAACAAACAAACCCAAAAAAACCCAAAAAACCCAAAACCAAAAAACACCCAAATCTCTAGCAGAGACAATGACACACCCCGGGGCGGGGCCACTGACTGTAGTGTCTTAAAGCTTTTCCCAAAGGGGGGACATTTCTCGTTCAAGCACAGTAGAATTGTAAATGGGCTGACTCATGTCACGCTCATAACTGTGCCTGATCTACAACAGGGAACTGCTGCTTTTTCTTTCCTGATCCTTACTATTGTCATTTTCCTCTACTTCTTTTGTATGTTTGTAACTCCCTTGT